CCACTGTAGCAGGACAGCCTCCCTGAAAGCTCACCTCCACTGGCACCTCCTTTCCGTTGGAGCGGCACGCCATGCCCTCTGGTCCGGCGCTAGGCTCGTTGATAAAGGACAAGCCCCACTGATTCTGAAAAATGTCCCCCAGAGACTTCTGATTTGTCGGAGCAGCAGGGGGATCAGCTTGGCGGCCGCTAGGGAGTGACAGTTGCATATTGGAGGGGGTGATGGGGTAAACGAACAGACTGGGCTTCCTGGGCTCAGTCACAGAGGTTGTGGTGGAACTTCCAATGGCCGAAGTGCCGCTACCAGGGGGAGATGCTACATTCTCAGTGGCAACAGCTGGGGTCGCCCGCAGAGGACCGGCACTGAAATGGGGGCCGGGCAGGGGACAGCCATTCCCTTCCCCCGGCAGGGGACCGTTGGTAAAGCTAGCCGAGGTGATGGTTTTTACCGCAGACATGGGGACCTGTGGCGGTCTCCCAGGCACCTGGGGAGCAGGAGTGAGAGCCTCCCCGCCAGCTTGGGCAGTCTTATTGAGGTTCTCCTTCACTTTGCTTGCATAACTGATCTTAGGCACAATCTTAGCGCTACTATTGTCCACAGGAAAGACAGGCGGAGGCTTGAACAAGGTCCATGAGTCCTCTTTGGTGGAGGTAGCCACCTTAACCTTGCTGGAGCGATCCTCAAATCGTTTGCCAGCCACTTTGCTGTCTGAGTTCTTGCGCTGAAGTTCAGCCACCGGCAGAGGAGGTGGGGTGGCAGAGGCAGTTGGTTCCTTGGCTTTTAGGTGCAGCTCGGCTTTTGAACCGGCACTGCCACTCTCCACCTGAGAGCCAGAGACTGAGTCCGGTGCCACAGGCCCGTGGTCTTGTTTGCCGTCCTGCTGCATGGCTTTGCCCTGGACAGAAGCAGTCACATTATCCGCGGCTTTGCCGTTCCTCTGGGCCCGGCGTTTCTTGGGAGTAGTGTATCCACTCTCGGAGCCACTGCCATCATTGTCAGCTCTGGTTTTGCTAGGGTAACCATTGGCAAGTGGTACAGAGTTGAGCGATACCACACCATTCAGAGTAGCCAAAGCTTCTTTTTTGCCCTCAAGTGTGTTCAACTCTGAGGACTTGTCATTTTTGAAGTCCATGCTGTTTCTGCTAGTGTTTCTACCTTTTCTGTCCCCTGTTGAGTCAGTGGTAAAGGCCCGTCGGGTGGGCTTCTGTTTCAAGTTGATGTCTAGCAGGTGTCTGTCGCCATTGCTGTTCGCAGGGTGCAGGGAGCTGTCTGGGTTAAAGGAAGTGGGAGTCACCTCTCCCGCCTTCAGAGTTCCATTTATTTTGCCATTTTCTGCACAGAGGAGAAACAAAACCAAATAAATAAACGGAATGCAAACCGCAAATCTGCATCAATTTATCCACTGAACCAACAATTTTTGGCAAACATCCAGATCAGATCTCAAGTTCCAGTAAGGGAACAGGTCAAGTCTAGTCAACGAGTACGTTTACATGGACAACAATATTCCGATTTTAACACAATTAAGACAATACTCTGATTAAGAATCTACCATGTAAACAGATATTTTTGATTACCTTAATCCGTCTATAGTCATACTCGAAGTAAACACAAATTGAATTAAGACATGTGGAGTATTCCTATTTTAGTCACATTATTGAAGTGCAGTATAGACATGTAAACACCTTAATCGCATTACTATAGTCATGTAGGACTTTTCGCCGCATTTTGCAACAGGATACACACACGGCAGTTGTCAACCATTTGATGGCAAATAAAAGAGCTTCAACACCGCCATCGTCTGTATGCACGTACAACTAATTAACTGCACTTGAAGCTTTCATAAAATTAAAAATGAAACACCCTAAACTGTATATGGCATCATCACGAAGACGAACTATATGTTTATACGTGAAATTCTGGAGGGGACGTCGGATGGCGTCACATGGGGACGTAATCGATCTATGTACTAGGGTTGTGACGGTAAGGACATTTTCCCACCGGTTAATCGACGTGTGACAACACTGGCAATACCGGTATCACCGTGGGAGCGGGGGCGTTCCCTCTTTTCCTTCGCTTTTAAATAGCTTGTCAAAGCTGCGTGCGCATTTTACTTTCACTTTCAAATAGCGGCAATTCGGCGTAAAGCAATTGTTAGTTTTTAGATTGTTTGAATTACCCCTCTTTTCCTTGCTTTCCTTCGCTTTTAAATAGCTTAAATGTGCCGTGCACATTTTTCTTTCACAATTGCTTGAATGCAACAACAAAATACAACATCAAACTCACTTTAGCCCATATATAAAACATAGAACTTTTATTAACAAAACGTTTTTTAAAAAAATCACCAAAATCACCTTATATAAACAGCAAAAGTCAACAGGCTTTTCAAAATCCCAAATATTGCCAAACAGGCGCTTCTGCATCTCGTTTCGAAACTAAATCATCCGCGATCGTCTTGTCTGTCTCACCTCGACTCACTCTCCTCACTGGATAAATTAAATGTGATCTGTGATGCGACTGTCGTTCGGCACGCTACATTGAGCAGCCGCGTTTAGTTTTTAATTGTAGTGTCTGTTCTTTTACTGAACTAAATTATTTTTATTACTATAAAAAAATCTAAACGATGGTGGGGGTCGGTGCTGCAGTGGGCAAGTGACATAACCGGTGTTGCGGCTTAACACCGGTATCACCGTCAGCACTATCGATCGCGGCAAGCCTACTATGTACTATGACATGTAAATCAGGATCATGAAAGGAATATTCTAAAAGCAACTCATGTAAACACTTTAATCATAATATTGTCTTATTTAGAATAAGGTAATTAATTAGATTACTGAGGTCCATGTAAACGTAGTCAATGTTTGCACAAGATTAAGGAATATTTAGACTAAGTATGTTCTGTGGAACCAAGCCAGGGTCAGGCAGATGACAAGCTGATTCCAACTCACACTGAACAACCATGCAGGCTATTCAGTGTATTTCCTATTATAACCAGTTTAAAATGACTCAACTGTTGGAATATCTGTGATTTGATAGCCAAAACCAAACTACATCTGAACAGAGCTAGTTTATCAAATTAAGCCTTTGGCAATAAAGTGAAATCAGAGATCAGCGGTTTTCATACGGGGTTTGCAGAAAATAAGAAAATAAATGTCTGTGTGTATTATAGCAAATATTATTGCAATTTAAAATAACTGTTTTCCATTTTCATATTCGTTCTCAAGAAACATTTTTATTATTATCAGTATGACAAAGGTTGTGCTGCATAATATTTATATGGTAACTTTGATACATTTTTTTCTGGACTGCATTGATTTCAAATAGAGATTTTTGTGCAATTCTCTGTGCTATAGAAATACATTTGAATTGAAACTAAAGTCAATGTTCTGTAGAAAAACGTATGACTTAAAAGCTTAAAATATACAATAAACATTTGTTGTCGTTATTTCATTTGCTTACTACTTTCGCAAATTAACCCTGCAACAGGATCATTATATTTGGATCTCCTTGGAATAATAATAATCAAAAAGACAAATGTTTTTTGTCGGGCAAGTGTGCATAAGACTGTCTGCATGACTTCATGATTTCTATGGAAACTATTTATGGCAGCTGAAGGAATGTCCTCACAGGAGCTTAAGGCTGACATCAATAACAATTCCATTCTGGCAACCTGGTATACAGAATCTAATTAATTCACACAGGAGAAAATCGGTCTTTGTACAGTATATGTAAACAAACTGAACCAATAAGGCAGCAGGGCAATGTAGCCTAATACCCAAATCAAGGGTGGAATGTATTAATGCGGTAAAAAGAGGTTTGAGCTCTAAAACGGGTCTTCACGACCTCTGTCCTGTGAGACTGAAAATATGAAGTATGAAGAGAGCACCCCATGCAAGTGTGCTTTCATCGGCCGCTCAAGTCTGACACCGCCCTATTTTTAACCGGAGGTATGACGTGTCAAAATGGAGTACTCATATTTGGGTAGTTCCCCGGCATTGGTGGACACGTCTTAAAATCCCGAAATTAATGAAAAACACATAGCTGAATACAGAAAACACATTTCATGCCTTATGTGAACTTTCATTTGTGTGGTAAAGTCACACTCGTTGAATTGGGTTAAGCGCAACATGGCAGTCAGCAACGTTTACACTGCATGAAATAATTTACAAAATTGTTTAACAATCGTATTGGTTTGCTTGCGTTTAGAACTAAGTATTCATTACCAGTGCATATTCGGTCAACAAACCGGCCAAGTCATCAGTTAGCTTAGCATGCTAAGTGGACAGCCTGAATAATTAGCCGCAGGAAGATGTTTTTGAAGAAGGATTTTGTGAAATGACAACTGCAAATATACATTTCAAGAAGCGCTGGGCGTTTTAGGCATCAAATATGAACAGTTTTAGCGATATGCAGCGGCGTACTCCTGCGAGCCCTTTTACATGTCACAATAGCCAACAGAGCCGTACCAAACATTAGCTTGATATCAACAGTTAACTCTTCGCCTGTGGTGCATTGTTGAACCGGATCACAGTTACGGGGGAGAATGCACACAATAAAACTGTCACTTTTGATTAAAATCAAACATATGTGAGTTCTGCAAGAGTTGTCAGCCTTCGTCGCGAGGCGCCATGAGCTTCTTGAGACGTTGCATATACACGTATAATTAAGGCAGGTTAAATGGGGTCAAGAAATTGCACTTTAAAATAAAAATAAAAGAAATATCATTCTTTTATCAACAGATTTTGTAAATCTACACGCAAACGACAGTTTATGTATAGGATTTCCAGGTTACTTCTATTTACGGTTGTGGAACGTTTGTAGCCGTACAGCTAACAGTTATAGAATTTTCCGCCGCGTTCTATTCAGGCCACTTGGTGCCGAATTCGAATACTGCCAGGCCCACTCACATGACTGTCAAAGAGCAAAAGGCCGCGTTTCGAGCTAAGCTGGCCAAACGTACACCTCTAAGACACAATTCCTAGCGTCTGTGACAGCTAAAGCTAGCATAGCGGACTGCGTTGCCCGAACCGTATTACCAAAGTATTCGGTTTTGTACGTGAAATGGGCAGCGGTGAAGTTTGTGAGATTTGGCCGTCCATCATGGCGGACAGGAAATAACAGAACAAGCTTAAGCTACGAGCAGGAACATTCCACAGGAGCCGGTTAATGCTGCTGTGGCAGCGACGGGGCAGAGCTAACAGGCTATTCTGGATCTCTGATGGATTCATTCCTGTTAAAACGACCCAAATTGAGAGGTATGTTTGCAAATAAGTCAGGGAAATGTGTAATGTGTGCTGAGAAACCGGTGCACAAGGTCAATGTCCCTTCACGCTAGCTAGCTTTGCGGCTAACACTGGATATAACTATTTCAAACAGTACATTCAGCCAAACATGCTCCTCATTTGATTTAACTAATGCTGTATTACTGTAAACAAACATACTACGACATGTATTTGAAGCTTGTCAGAGGAAAAAAAACTATGAGCGTTGCTGGTTACCAACCTGTTTTCTTCGTCTGCGTTTTCTCGTTCTGGAACTGACTGTGTTTCTGATCATTGTTTACCGATATGTTCGATCGATCAGGGCCGTTCTCTGCTCCATGACTGATGTATACTCCGGTTGCCCCTTCGCAGGGACGTTCCTCCATTTAACGCTAGCGCAAGTGACAGAATGTGCTCAACCGGTGCTCGGTGGACGAGGGGGGTTGAGACATTTGCACTGCCCAATCACCGCCTGCATTTGGGGGTGCCAGAGAGAGACGGGCGGTCACAGGAAGCTGTCACGTAAACTCATGCAACCACCCCCTAGTGCTACTGTGTCGGTGCTGGCAGTGGTCTTCTTCTTCTTCTTCTTCTTCATTGGCGTTTTACGGCAGTTGGCATCCATAGTGTTGCATTACTGCCATCTGCTGTCTCACTTTAACTTACTATATCTTAATTAAATTCGTCCTTCCAGTCCAGTCCTCCTTAGAAAATTAAACCAATATCTCTGTCCTTGGTCATTATTTTCATATGTTACTATATTTTTAACATTCTACTCTACTATACCTATTTCCCGTAGCTGATTCTTGAACTCTTGCCTTTCTTGAATATATTTCTTACATGATATGAAGATGTGCTTAATTGATTCCTCCTCCTGCCATTCATCACATAGTCCTGTCGGGTGTTTTCCTATGACATGAAGAGTTTTGTTTAGCTTGCAATATCCAATCCTCAGCCTATTTATTATGACTTGTTCCTTCCTTTTATTTCCCTTCTTACTTTCCATACCGATCATATTTTGTATCATGTACAGATGTCTCCCTTTGATATCATTATCCCACTGCTGCTGCCATTTTTGCGTTATCTTTTTCCACACTAAACTCTTCCCTTCTGTTTTTGATAATTTAATTTTGACGTCAACATGTTCTTTTTTTGTTGCTTCTTTTGCCAGTCTGTCTACTTTCTCATTTCCCTGGATGCCCACATGCGCTGGCACCCACATGTATGTGATGTTTTGCAGTGGTGTGCTGTTGGGGAGTCTTCTTCTTCTTCTTTTGAATTTTTTGGCGTATTCCGCACCATAGGCACATACCGCCACCAACTTTCTAATCATACATGGATGATAGTCCCACCTCTATTCATATTTTATTTATTTATTTTTTAATTGTTAATTTTATTTCGGGCTCACCCAAGCTGTATTTCTGGCTGCTGCGTGTTCAGCTCCCATGCCAAAAAACCCAGCTTGTGTGTTCCCCTATTCCTTTGCTTTATTTATTTAACTATCAAATACATTTATTTAATCCTGTTCCTACTATATATTCCATTACTATTCTTTGATTACTACCTTCTCTTAATCCTTTTCCTAATATCCATTATATATATTTTCTTTATTATTACCATTTCAGTTCTTTATCATTTTAATTCTCTCTATATTATATTTCCGATATTTTAATATTACATGTTCAACGGTTTCTATTACCCCACAAAAAGCACATTTACCTGTAATTTGTTACAGTTGACCTATTTTATATAGTGATGCATTTAGTCCTGTGTGCCCAAATTGTAATCTATTTAAAATCATCTCATCTTTCCTACATCTTCCAAAAGTGTATACTACTTTAACTGATGAATTATGATGAGTCCTTTCTGTCAGTTCTTGTATAGAGGTGAAAATTCTGTCGAGTGGAAAGTGTGCTTTTGTGTTTATTAAATAATGTAATGATACTGTAAAGCAAATGTTATATACACTACCATTCAGAATTTTGTCATCCTTTTTTGTGTGTGTCTTTTTGAAAAAAGTGAATACTTTTATTCAGCGAGGATGCATTAAATTGATCAAAAGTGACAGTAAAGACTTACATTGATACAAAAAAAATCTGTTTAAAATAACTGCTGTTCTTCTTCTGACCTTTCTATTCATCTAAGAATCTTGAAAAAAAAAATCACAAAAATACATAAAGCATTAAAACTGTTTTCAACTGACAATAAGAAAAGTTGAAATATAGTAAAATTGACAATAGTTATTTAAAATAGTAAAAACATTTCACGGTGTTACTGTTTTTACTGCAGTTGTAAACAAATGAAGGCACGATAGAAAACTTCTTTAAAAACATTTTAAGTCGTACTGACCCTAAACTTTTAAACATTATGTACCATCAGAGTAACCCCTTGAGTTCAGATAGTCTCTCAATATAATTTATACTAAATTAAATGTAAATGTTTTCCCCCATAGAAACCTATTTGCTGGATGCTATTTGCTATTTTTAGATGCTTTAAATTCTATGCATTCTCTTCAATTGACCAGAGGGGGGCAGAGAAACACTGTTATGACAATTGCTGTCTTTAGTGTAGTCATACTAAAAATAGCATCATATTATATGCATTGTTAGATCACATTTTTATGATTAAGTTGTATTTGTTTATTAAACAGAATCATAATAACAGAATTGTCTTTATTTTTTTATTTTTTTATGTAATAGGATTATTTTTATTGTCCAGTGGCATATGGAGTTTAGCATTCCATTCCACATAATAAAGCAGTGGAAATTCTTCAGTTATCTTTAGAATGTCCGAATCCTTTGAAGTGGTCAGATTTCTTAGGATGGAATGACATGGACAACAACCTTAGTTACTAAGCAAGTTCCACATTTAGGTGAAACCAAAATAGCAGTTACAAATCAAATTTTCGTTCAGGCAGCCCTTTCGAAATCTCTGTAAATCACTGTATTTTCACTTCTTGTTTATGTGTTTGTAGGTTGAGACTTCTCTCTAGCCCTCCTGTACTGCTTGCGTAATTGGCATTGGTGGACCTTTGAGCAAAACAACTCCGTTATAGCACAAACAGTTGATGCATGATTACAGTGTTTGTCAGACACCGATGTGACTTTAAACGCAGTTTTAATAGTTGTATTCAAAACACCTTTTATGGTTGAGCATGTCAGAATATGTTTTTCTATGAATCTCTTGGACTATCACAGCTGAAAATTATAGGATATGTCATGTGTTTTATAAGTTTCAAAGAAAACAAGTAATGCAAAAGATTTTACAAATATGTATGTAAAACAATCATTCTCATTATAAACTGATATTTGAATATACGTAATGTTTTAGGCAGAATTGTTAACTATAATGCATGTACCTTCAGGGCAGTCTGAAATATGAAAGAAAGGTTACAGCTTGCATTCCTAGGACATAACAAGTATTACCTACAGGCCATGTCATCGCATCTTAAGTTCTGTTAAACACAGACTCCAGCCAGATCATAAATCACATAACTCGGCTCTAGTAATCTTGCAATCGAGCAATCCTTGAGTGAAAGACTGGCTCTTTTAATTGCAGAGAGTCGCTCAAATAATGCTAGTCCTCTGTCTCTGTAATGCTGCTATACAGGTATTGGGGCGACTAGCCTTGAGCATGCCATCTTACCCTTGAAAGGCCTGGAGTGATTTCATATCATTGCGTCTTGTCAACACGCTTTCATCTGAACGCCAGTTAGTATCATTAACAGCTCATATTTCACTCTTCTGGAATGTTCTGATACAGTACAATTTCAAAAACAAATGCCAATATTAAGAATTTGCTAGACTGTATGGATCAATTCAAACATGTTTATCTAATTGTAATGTGGCATGTTGTGAAGACTTTCATGGTCTGATGTTATGGTGTGCTTGCTTTTGGTAAACCTGAAAGGGTTGTTTACTTGATGTCAGACATGAAAAAAATGAGGTGCAGGCTGTAAAACGTCAGTTTGACTCTTGCACCCGCTCGCTGTCACCATGGAGACGAGCCCTTCATAAATATAGCAGTACTAAGTGAGACAACTTTCATCTTAATCCAGGTAGTATTGTCTTCATGCGCACGCATTTTGATGAACAAGATCAGATTTCATTTTACAGCAGCAGAATTTATAAGGCCTGCATGCATTACCAATGATGTATGGTTTATGGTTTATGGGTATACAACCAGTACACACACACACACACACACACACACGCACACTCATTTTTCTTCTCTGCATTTCTCCTCTTCTCTAGCTTGCTTTCCAATCTACACTGAAAAAAAAACTGGTGTAGAAACAATTTTCACTCAGATATTGCTAGTAAATTAAAAAAATAATTACAAAGAAACTGCAAGTAACACATTAAAGGAATAGCTCACTCAAAAATGAAGATTTGCGGAAAATTTACTCAGGCCATACAAGATAAAGATGAGCTTGTTTCTTCGTTGGAACAGATTTGGAGAAATTTAGCATTTCATCACTTGCTCACCAATGGATCCTCTGCAGTGAATGGGTGCCGTCAGAATGAGAGTTCAAACAGCTGATAAAAACATCACAATAATCCACAAATCAAGAAACTATTTCTTAAAAAGACTGAAATAGTATAAGAAATACTTGTTTTTAAGTTGTTTTATTTACAACTTAAAAAAAAAAAACTTTTACAGTGTAGTTGTATAATAAACCTGGCATTGTATATTGCAAATATTGGTGACTTTTTGAAAATTGCTTTTGCTCTTCTTTTGTAAGTCGCGCTGGATAAAAGCATTTTCTACATGTATACATGTAGCTGTAATTAATCTGTATTTTGTGCTTGTACATTACATAATGACCTTCTAAAATATCCACAAAGATCTGTCTTCAAAGAAGACTGAATGAAAGCTTGTATATTTAGCTCAGAGTGGTTTTCTTTTCTAACGGTTTGGGAGTGATTTGTTTTTGGGCCACCTCTTTCTTTTACATCTGTAGATGGAACACAAGCAGGCAGTGCTGTGGATGG